TTCTCCTCGGGAACGTCCTGGACGGCCAGCCAGGCCCAGACTCTCTGCAGGCTTGGTCTTCCCAGCCTAAGCGCCCTCCTCCAAGGTACCCACTGTCTGCCCCTCCTCCAAAAGTCTGCATTAAATTGCTCAAAATAACTCCAGCATCCTGATAAAGATCAGCCCTGCTAAGGACAAAACAAAGCAGAAGTCTTTGTACACAACAGGCCCTCAGATTAAACCTCCGATGGGCTGGAGCACCAGGCCTTGCCCCAAAAGCGGCGCTCTGTAGCCTCGGGGGTCGCGGACGCCGGCTCACGGGGCCGGTGTGCGCCTCTTCTCCCGGCTCCGCGTTCCGTGACAGCTCCGGCAGTGTGAATCTGTCCACGGAGGGAGTCTTTACGCCGTGGAAACTGGCAAATGCTACAAAGGAGGATGTCTCACCCCACTCTGCAAAGCCAGTTGTCAGACGTTCACCAGCACTTCGTTGGCTCGGGGCTCCTGGAGACCGTGGCGAAAGCCGTGATGCCTCTCCCAAGGGGCATGTACAGTTTCGTATAATGTCAGGAAACTCACGGTCCTCTGAAACCCGATGATGGAACCCCCAGGTTCAAGACCCACCCATGCTTAGGCTTTCGTGTGTTTCTCACAGGGCACAAAACAAAACAAAACAAAACTGGGCATGTGAACCAGAAACTGGGCCGGACATTTGAAGTATTTTATGGCGAAACCTCGTTCCACGTTTGAAAGCATGGTTGCGCCACCATTTTACAGGTGGGGACACTGAGGCCCAGAGAGGTTATGTGTCTGGTCCAAGATTTCACAGCTATTAAGTGACTGAGCCGGGATTTGAACTGAGGACTCTGGTCTGGAAGGTTTGGCTCCATTCACTGCACCATTTGGGAGGCAGATTTCTTCGGAAGAAACAGAAGACAAGTCCACTTGTGGGAGCAGAAAAATGGCCCCTCCAAGGCCCACATCCTACTCCCCCAAACCCGTGACTGTGTCACCTTACACAGCAAAGGGCGTTGGCAGATGTGATTGAGATGAAGGTCTTGGACATGGGAGATCGTCCAGGATCATCCAGGTGGCCCGATCTAATGACACGAGTCCTTCAGAGCAGGAGGAGGAGGCAGGGGAGTGCGTCAGAGAGGCAGACGTGCGAAGGACTTGACTCGCCGCGGCTGGCTTCGAGGACAGAGGGGAGGGACCACGAACGGGGGCTGCTGGAGGCTGAGAACGGCCTTCGGTTTACAGCCAGAGAGAAGATGGGAACCTCGGTCCTCCATCTCAAGGGACTGAATTCTGTCACAAACCCCAGTGAGCAGCACATGTCTTCCCTCTAGAGCCTCCTGCTGGCGCCTTGGCTTCAGCCCGGTGAGACCCGCGCTGGACTTTTGAACTGCAGAAGCCGCGAGGTGTAGTGCACTGGTATCGTCTGAAGCCACTACGTTTGCAGCAGTGAAACGAGTACGGCCACTTTCTCTGAAGGCTATTTCCCCTTCTGCCATGCTGTGAGAGGAAGGAGCGGCCCGTGGGACAGCGGAGGGGACAGGGCCGTCCCCTGTCACTTCCCTGTTTTCTCTGCAGCTGGCACAGGAGGGGTGCAGCCTGTGAGGAAGTGCGAGCCTCGAGTGCAGACCTGAGGAAGCACTTTGGGGCGGGCCAGTGACGACGTCCCGTTGTGGGGGAAACCCGTGCATTGGGGCCAGGGGGACAGCAGGCGTCGGAATTGCAGAGTTAGGCTTAAGTCCTGGCATCACCACAGCTATGGGGCCTCGGCAAGGACACAGCCTCTTGGAGCCCAAGCTTCCTCCACTGTGAAAACTCTATTCCTCACTCCAATATCTACTCATAGGGTCCTTGAGATCGTAAGGGTGAGAGTGACTTATAAACTACCATGCGTGGGTTGATATGAGGGATGGTTTTCGTTGCCCTCGTTGTGGCTTACATCTTCCTGGCATTTTTTCGCTTTGTGTTCATTTTCCCTTCATGGATGTTTAAACATCAGTAAAAACTTGTGCCATGAATACGTTTTAGTGACCCTTTCAGTCACCTGCCTGCAGGAAGAGTCAATAGAGAAAGGAATTTGGGGCTTGGGAAACTCAGCTTTGAATCCTGGCTCTGCCATGTCTCTGGTGTGTCACTTCATCGTTCCGGCCCTTGGGTCGTTGCCTGGAAAACAGGCAGATGATGACGCTTTCTGCCTCACTGGGCCCGAATGCTGGCAGTCAAAGGTGTTGACGACACCCGGCACATCACGGGCGCTCAGGAAACGGCACCTGGAAACAGGCCAACCTGGCAACCGCAGAACCTGGCCCTTTTCTGCGCTTGACCACAGATCCTGCTGGCACTGGACAAGGGACTTTGCTCTTCAGGTCCCAGGATCCCATAAATTTTAGCGATGCTGCCACTTTCAACTCCCCTCTCGGGACTAAAGTCAAGCTTACCTTTACCTGTCCTAAGGAAGCGCAGGGTGCCTAATGAAAGATACGCTACACTCGTGTTTGCTATTCTCTTCGTCCTACCTGGATGCTGCTAGTCCTGTGTGTCCACACAGGCGCCTGTCCCACCCACGATGGCCTCCAGTGTCTGGGCCCAACACTGCCACAGTCATAGCCACAACTGTCATAATACCCAGCATTTGTAAAAATGCTTCTTTTGAGTAGCTTCCGCATGCCACGGCTGGTTTGATCTGGTATTTCATGATGAGGAAACCAAGACATAGAGAAGTCAGATGACTCATCCAATTACACAGGCAATAAAGAAGTGACCGAGCTGAGTCTCAGCTGAGTCACTCGGTTGTGTGTCCATCCTTCTGTCCCCTGCTACCCGTCACATGAACACCTGCTGATCAATCTCATGGCCATAGGAAGAATTCTGGCTCTTGAGCCTCTTGGGAGTCCCCAGGCTGAGCTGGTGCCTAACCGTCAGGCCTCAGTCCCGTCCCCGTTGTCACCGCGATTCCCAGCCCAGCTCGAGGATCCCCTTTCCCAGTCTGTGGGTTAACCGCAGTGAATCGGTCTGAGTCAGAGCCAGAGCCACACTGTATAATCACAAAGCATCTTCCCTCGTAGTCAGCTGTCCTCCACGCAACTGCCTTTACCTGGGAGCCACCAAGTCTGAGCCCCTTCCAGGAGGTCTGTCCACTGGGGACCTCTCCCCACGGTACCAGCACGGACGAGACTCGCTGGTGACTGTACGCTGCTCAGAGCTGCCGCTATTGCCCAAAGGACAACTGGTCGTACCTGGACACAGGATGATGGCCCATGCTGCAGTTTGCCTTTCAAGTAGCCCTCCATACGCCATCTTATTCTGACCTTCACAGTAACCCCACGAAGTAGGTATTTGTGTATCCATTTCATAGATGACGAAGCAAGGGATGCAGCGGGTAAAGTCACTTGCCAGAGGTCACCCAGCTCGAGAGCAGAGGGAGGGGCCTTGGGCCCTCACGCCTTTGTGAGCGTGTTGCTGCCTAGCAACGCTCCTAATCCGACTCTGCTGTGCAACTTAGTACGTGTCTCTGCGTCAGTTGAGAAACCTCTCTAGGCCTCGTTTTCCTTATCTGAAGAACTAGAGGCCGGCTCTTGTGGTAAGTTGGGGCCGACTACTTATCAGAGAGCATTGTCTCCACACAAGACCACCTCACTTCTGACACCAAGTGCAAGTTCAGGGGGTTCCCAAAACCACCCTTAAATTGGACCATTCATTAGAAAGACTCACAGACCTTCCTGAAGGCCGCTCGGCTCGCCGTGATGGTTATCACAGGGAAGGATGCAGACGAAGACCAGTCAGACGAACAGCCACCCACCCAGCACAGCCCAGGAGGGTCCCAAATGTAAAACTCTATCTCTCTGTGGAATCAGGGAATAACTCTCTCAGCCCTAACGTGACAGTACACACAGGGAGATGTGCCCAAACAGGTGTTGAGAGGTTTTATTGGGGTTCCATTATACACGCATGATTGATTGGTTGGTTGATGGCCCATGTGGTTAATCTCAGTCTCCGAGTTCAGTGATACCATGTGACCCAGATCCCCCATCCTGAGTGACACGGGTGGTCTTTTGGCGTGGGGCAGCCCCAACCCTAACACTGTGGGGCGTGGCCACATTTCCCAGAAGATCCAGTGCAGCCAGCCGTGACCCAGATCCCCCATCCTGAGTCACATGGGTGGTCTTTTGGCATGGGCAGCCCCAACCCTAACACTGTGGGGTGTGGCCACATTTCCCAGAAGATCCAGTGCAGCCAGCCTCAGCCCTGAACAAAGACACTCCTATCACATATGATTACCTTGTAGACAATGAGAGCAAAGCCAGACCACTCTTTGGGAAAAGCCAAACTCTTTACAGCCCAACTGTAAGTCCCATCCAGCTTCTCCACTCTGTCGCTTCCCCGGTGCTCACTCCCGTGGCCCCATGTGCCACTGGGCCCGGCGCCAGCTCCAGCTCTGTCCTCTCATGCCATTCATCTGGCTGTCAAATCTTTATTCTCTACCTGCAGCTTATTAGATTCATTCAATCATAGTATATATCTATTGACCTACAACTGTGTGCCAGGCACTGTACTAGGGTTGTCTATGTGGATAGATGTCAACCTTTAAGAGTTGTGAGTGTGCAAGCCATATATGAACAACAACTGGCACAGAGAAGGAGCTCAAAATATGTAGGCTATTTTTAATAAATGGATGTCCAGTTGATATGGTAGGCATCACGATTGAAATACGGTCAAAAGAACATTCTCTTGGAAAATTGCTTATAGCCTTGTCTCCAGAGAGTTCAATACTCAGTATTGGATGAGCTTCAGCCAACAGATGTGCCGTGGGCCCACCCAACGGGACCACTGGACTAATGGCCATGCCAGATCTAAGCTAAACTAAGCACTAAACAGGACAGGGACCCTAAACGTAAAGAGGGAAAAGTCTTTGCTTGGGGAGGAACACTGAGTGTTGGCTCATTTGCTTTTTCCAGCAATTTATTATCCCTTTAACCTTTGTTTCTCCTTATTTCTGTGTGTTTTCTCAGCCTAGAGTTGCTGGCTGACGTTCAGTATGCCTTCGGGCTTCCCTTCCATCCTGCCTACGAGGGGCAGTTTACTCCGGAGGAGAAAAGCGTGTCGCTGAAAATCATGCAGTACTTTTCCAACTTCATCCGATCTGGGTGAGTGCAGCACGTGTGCCTGAATGCTGTCACTGGGCACCCCTGCCCCTGCTCCGAACACCCAGGCCGCATTTCCCGCCAGCACCCTCACCCTCTCCTCCCTAGACGCTGTGGTCACCTGCCACCGGTCAGTTGCCTTCCAGCCCAAGCCACTCTGCAGAGATTATTCGTGGGGAAGCGAAGTTTCGATCGCACACTCCTTCCTCATCCATATCTGATGGCTCAAGGTCAGGGTTTCCCAATCTTGACACCAGCGACACTGGGGCTGGGTCCATCTCCATGGTGAGGGCTGTGCCGGGGATGCTGGCAGCACCCCCGGCAGCACCTCTGGCCTCCACTCACCAGCTGCCAAAATCGCCTCGCCCCCATCCCAGCTGTGAGAACTGAAAATATCTCAGACATTGCCAAATGGCCCTTGGAAAGCAGCATCACCTCAAGTTGAGAACCACTGCCTTAGGTTATCAAATGAAGTGAAAATGCTCAGGACCCCTAATTAGCTACCTCTAGCCTCCCACACGCACCTCTGTTCCAGCCCAGCTGGCGAGCTGACTGTGGCTCCTGCTGTTCCTTCCATCCTGTAGTTTACCTGTCTCCCTTTATCCCCTTGCCATACACGCATTGGTCACCTAGCACGGTATGAGGTCCCCTGGAAAGGTAAAAGGTAAAGTAACGGTTCACCTATAAGCTACGAATAGTCTGAAACATAAAACCCCACCATAATTAAAAGCAAGGCAAAATAAAACTTTATACAGTATTTTGTGGGAGTCGTGTGGAAAGACATTTCTTTGGAATGTCTCAGTTTCGCTGAGGAAGTGACATTGAACCTGGTCCTTGGAGGATGAATTGGGATATTCAGGTAGACCGAGGAGAAGAGGGCGCTCTGGGGGAGGGGCAAGTGAGCAGAGGGGTGAGAAGCACACCTCGTCCGGTGAGTGTCGGGAGGTCGGGGGGTGCTGGAGTGTGGGCTATGTCGGGGGGTGGGGGGACATGCTGGGAGAGGGGCCTGGGCGGCAAGTCTGGGCAGGAACCTGGGTCTGAGAGGATGTGACATCTCCTTCCAAGGGAAGGCGACTTGTAGGTGGTGGAGAAGTTTGTCCGGCTCTAGACCCACCCTCCTGCCCAAGCCTTGGACGACAAAGGCATCCCGGAGTTTGGCACAGAAAAGGGTGCGGTGACCTCGTGAACATTCGGAAAGACAGAGGGTGATGCTGCTGGGTCACGAACTCACGCCTTTCCTCTCCTGGAAATGGCCTAAGAGCGCGAGTCAGGGGCCTTCACACCTTTCATCATCAGCGATGTGGCGGTTAAACCTCATGCTAACACCTAAAGATGTGTGATTTGGTCCTGAGAGACTAAATGCAAGTAGGAAGTGATCCCAAGTGATGAAGAGAAAAACAAGTTCCCTTTACGGATGGTTCTTTCTTCTCATTTTCCCAGAAATCCCAACTACCCTCACGAGTTCTCGAGGAAAGCGCCTGAATTCGCGGCCCCCTGGCCCGACTTTGTCCCTGGTGCCGATGGAGAGAACTACAAGGAGTTCAGCTCCCTGCTGCCCAATCGACAGGGCCTGAAAAAGGCCGACTGCTCCTTCTGGTCCAAGTACATCCGGTCTCTGAAGGTCTCGGCAGGTAGGGAAGCCTGGAGCAGGCGGGGGCCAGGTGGGGGTGGGGGTGTAGCTGTTGCCCGACATGTATTGCATTGGCTGTGCTGCCTGTACTGGAGCCGCTGGGCCACTGGGATGCCTTCGACACAGCCCCTCCCATGAGGAGCTGACAGTCCGGGGGGCCCCTCTTTGCCAAGACCCTCCTGTTCTGATGGAGGCCGGAGCGGGGAGTAACAGAGAGAGAGGCACGGGAAGAGAACACGGGGAGGACTGGGGGTGGGCGGGACTGGGGGGGGGTTGGTGAGGAGCCAGCCTGCAGTGTTGGTGGAAAGAGAGAAGGTAGAACGTCACCCTCACTGCCCTTGGAGAGTTGAGTATACGTCTTGGAGAGTGAATTCTAGCCAGGGGAGAAGTGAGCGTTCCACCTCTTCCTGGAAGAGAACTTCCTGTTGAAAAGAACTTCCCATTGAAGAGGTTTTAAGGAGAGAAAAGCAATCATAATAAGAGCACCGGGAATATCGAGATAAATGCAGTGCCATTAAGACGCTCCCGAGAGTACGAGGGAGTGGGTGGCATAATCCAGTGAGTGTTCTGCTTTCCTGGAGCCATGATGGAAGTCTGCTCCCAGGCTGGGACCTGGGAAGGCTTCCTAGGAGAGATGATGCTGGGCCGACGTTCTCAGAATAATGGGAGTCCTTCATGCAGGGATGGAAGAGAGTGGCTCATTCGGCAAGGAAGTGACCTTGTCAGAAATATGTTGTAGGGTCTCAACTCTGCTTTTACCTTCCAAGGCCAAGGGGCCAAGGGGCTCTCTGTTGACGAACCCTAGGACTTGTCTCCTGAGCATGTCCCCACAGCCAGACAATCTGGAACCGCCCCTCTGTGGGGCATTAGTAGGGCCGGCCCGTCAGAGGTTGGAGTCTCTTAGGGCTGAAGAGCAAGGACGAGGGAGGAGGGGTCCTGATCCGGATTAGACCAGCCTTGTCCTTGGTGTTTCAGACGAAGCCAAGGGTGGGCCGTCAGCAGAGAGTGAAGAGGACCGGCCGGCCTCTGGCCTGAGAGAAGACCTCCTGGGCCTCCCAGATCTAGACTCCAAGAGCTACAGCAAGTGACCAGCCTGAGATCCCCACCCACCCCGCAACCCCACCCCCGGCTGTCACCCTGGGCACCTTAGTCTCTAAAACAGCCGCTAGCTCTCAATAAAGTCTTTACATGCCGTGAAACATTGGTGACTGATTTGTCAACTCAGGATAATCTTTGGGAGACATCAAACTATATATCTTCATAATCTTCTAATCTTAATAACCTTCCTGAGGTTTGAATCCCAGGCTGCCGTTTCCTTCTAGCAAATATTTACAGAGCATCCTCTGTGCACCAGACCCAATGCTGGGTGCTGGGGAGGCAGGAGCCCTGCCCTCCAGAAAGCTATAGAAGGAGAGGAGAACACGTAAACAAACACTGCAGGGACATGGGAAATGGGGATCCATCGAGGGCAGGCCCCAGGGTGACACAGTCCTACCTAGGTGCAAGAAAGCGTTCTCTTGTGAAGGTTCCAGAAAGGATGAAGGAGACCGGCTGGGCTCTGGTGCGACATGCGAAGCGAGAGACAGTGAGGTCTGAATCAAGGCAGTGAGGGTAGAAATAGGGGAGGCACAGACCCGAGAATCACTGAGGAGGCAGAATGGACAGGACTTGACCGAGTGTGGGAGCAGGGCCGCAAGGAGATAGAATCATCGCCCCAGCTTTGGGCTGATTCGAGTTCCCAGAAAAGCAACTGATTTCATCATTCGCCCTCCTATAGGACACACTTATGAAGGCAAATATTCTGCTTGACACTGTCTCTCTACCTCTCTCAATCTCTCTCTCTCTCTCTCTCTCTCTCTCTCTCTCTCTCTCTCTCTCTCTCTCTCTCTCTCTCACACACACACACACACACACAAAAACAACCA